AAAAAAAAAAAAAAAAAAAAAAAAAAAAGGTTTATTTAAAAAAAAAAAAAAGCCAAAAGCAAGAGTTTTTCATGACTGGTAAACACGAGAATTATGTGAACAGAAACTATTTCATGCTGGGATGGCAGCCAGGGACTCGGGAATGTCAACAAAAGTTCTCCGAAGGTTGAAAATGTCACTGGATTACAATACAAGGTCCTTTGCCCCATTAGCAAACTTTACTAAAGTAATATTCCCACTACTTAGCGAGGGGACTCACCCAGTGATTTATCTGTCTGTGATCCAAGCAGTGGGGCAAACAGAGACTTCATCTGGAAACCACCACGGACTGTTTGCTTAAAGATTTTAAATTTATATGTATGCAGAGATTTGTGTGCATTTGTGGGTGTTACGTGAGTGCAAGAGAAGTGTGGTGTTAATATAGTCTAAATATCCATCACCGTATCAGATTTTTAATCTGATAGTAATTGTAAGCAGTAAGACCTAGGTGGATACATGCTCTATCAACTAATAATGCCCTGTTACTGATAAATTTACAGGAATAGTTGGGGCTGAAAAAATGAAGTTTCACTACCTACAAGGCACGTGAATTTTATTCAAATAAATAACTAAATTTTGTCAGCTAGTAGAGCAAAAAATAACTAGTAGTTTTCACAGTTGTTTTTGGTCAGGTTCATTTTCTGGTCCTCCTGACCTAGTGTTGAAATGTTTGGCTTGTAGTGGAAGTGTTTCAAGCCAAACAAATAAAAGATATTTCTGATTAATGTTTCTATGCAAATCTTTTTAATACTAGATTTTGTAATATGTTTTTAAAGCAAAATTGAGTTATGGTTCTTTTAAATTGAAATCAATTGAAATCAACACATAAGACCTCACAGAGACCACTGTGGGGAGGAAATAATAAGGGAAAGGTTGAAAGTTTGCTTTTAGTTGCTCTTCAGTCTCTTCTTTTGCAATTTTAGTGTCTTAAAGTGTAATATTGGACATGGAAATTAATTCCTACCTCCATTATAAAGTGTGTAACCTCAGCTGAGTCCTTTAACCTATGTGCCATAGGACTCACTGCCTTTGTCAGCAAAGTTAGTCCTTATGCAGATAATTTTTCTCTCACACCATGTTTTTATTCAAAATCTAGTAAAGATAAGGCCCAGTGTCCCGGGGGCGGGGGGGAGTTCCTTGATGGTGTTGGCTTTAGCATCCGAGTCATTGTTTTTGCCAGTGCCCAACGGTATCTTATGTAGCACTTTCTAATGCTTTATACTTCTGTTAACCAGGAAAAGCATATGATTTTTTATTCAAAGTTGTGATGTTGTCAGCTAATTTGAAAGTACTAAGGGTAACACAGCTGATAAAAGGATAAAAAAATACAGACCAGAGTAAGTTGTCCCAGTGTTTGTAATAAGCTCATGCAAAATTAGTCCAGATAGTGGGTTTTTTTAGGAAAACTTTGCTACACATACCATTAGAGTGTGGTGTCCTCACACGCATACTTAACTGAAATAATATATTTGAGTAATTTTATCCTTTTCTAAATACCACCACAAAGATGAATTCTTGAGATTGCATGAGTGCATGATGGAGTCATCACAGAAATAACCACAGCTAGAAATCAGAGCAGTAGTGTTTGTATAAAGACTGGACAGGTTTTGCCTCTTCCATAGTTTTAATAAATAACCTTAATTTAGTAACGTCAGCAGCTGCTAAAAAAAAATCCTAGCAGTTCACCTTACTTGAGTTGTGTTATATAAATGTAATCTGCACCATGTTGGCTGGATCTTGGACCCATTAAAAAGAAGATATTCCGTCTCAGTGGTTTGCCAGGAATCTTCATTGAAAGTTGAAATAAATATAATGACGTCATCATATAAAGTAACATCATAGCTTTCAAGGTAAGCCAAACCAAAGGTATGTTGGCAGGGAATGCTGCCACCTGGTAGATCCATGCTAGGAATAGATACGGTAGTCTCATCCAGCGGGGAGGAGAATAGCCACACTCTTCCTGGAGTGCCCACAAGGATCCTGCAGTCTTTCTGTGCATGCAAGTCCTCTGGGAGCCTTACTACACATGAGAGCTGCAGAATCTCTGTCAATGCTCTCTTTTAAGAGAGCAGCTACAGCAAATTTGAAGAGACCCTTTCATTCCCTCTTTCTTGCTCCCAGACCAAGCAAGAAGCTCCAATGGTTAAAAGGAAGGGAATGAATACATTTACTTGAAACAACTGTTGGAATGGTTCAGAGGGGAACAGAAATATTCAGCAATCAACATTAAAGACTCTAAATCCTTAGAGGTGTTATTGCAGGATCAGCAGCTTACAGCCCTCTTTAGTGAAGGCTGGGTACCAATGTATTACTGTTAAATCTCCTGCAGCCAGTTCTCTGTGGGACAAAGCAGCTGCACTTTGTGATGTGCTTTCTGAAGAGTCTGAGAGAAAAGATACTGGAAGAGAAACCTGCAGAGGTATAGCATCCCAGGGAGTCACTTTTCTGTGGGGAACTGGAGGACAGGAGCTGCAGGCATGGCACAGTTTAGCCTCTAACTCTTCAGGTGGCTAGTTTATATGGA